CCTCCACACTCAAATTGAATATATATATAGTTTATTTACAGTTGTACAAGTTATAAACGTAGCATATGTACAGGAAGATCATGCGTGGTGAATTCACGTGCCAGATTGGCGTCTGGAAACTAATACTCTTGGGAGAGACCTCAGTCAGCTTTCGGAGTCGGCTCAACTGCACGGTCGGTCCGGTCTCAGCACTAACCCGTCCCTGAGAAGATTAACAGAGGAGAACACTCTCTCTTTACGCTCAGCGGGCTTCCCAAGTGCCTGAGACTACCGTGTACCAGTCTCTTGCCCTTCTCTCCTTTCCTCTCGTTCGGCCCGCAATTTAAGGGTTTTTGGACGGGGACTTCCGACCAATCACAATCCCTTTTCTTTGCCCGAACAGCTTACACTCGGGTCCGCCGTCATCCGACGAGAGTGGAGCTCACACAAACGTCCGCCACTTGTTTACGTTCGTTCGTTTACAATATGGCAATTGTACTACCGTCTCACTGCAGGTGGGTCCAATTAACAAAGCCGTACCCCCTTTGTCCCCGCTGTGCTAAAAGGTTACTACTTTACAGTATTTTTCTTGTGATCCTTTGATAATTTTTTCTAAATCTGACAGTGATAAGAATACACTAAAATTAGAACTTTATATCTCTTTGTCAGATAAAACAGATAATTAACGATAGTAATTACCTAATTCCTATAAATCAAGTATTATATTGGTAAAGATAACAGTTCCAAAAATATATATTTCGATTAGAACAAATATAATGTGCCAGTTTTTAATACTTTTTTCTCTTTATATAAGTTTTAACACAATTTATTTTTGCGAAAAATATTAAGTAAAATTTGTTAAAGTAAATTTATGGGTTCTAAAAAAATCTTAAAATATCTGAAATAAATAAAAATAAATGTATAATATATGAACAAAATTCTATAATTCCAGTTATTATGATCTGATTTTTATCAGTCCATATTAATATAAGAATCATTCCTATATTTATTTTTTAATTCAAAATTCAATATTTAGATTACGTAAATTACATATTTTATGCATAAATATTACAGGAAGAAAAGTATTAATGTCCAGAAACTGTGTATTTTTATTTTTAAAATTCTAAAACATCAAGATTATTTCATTTGTATTCATTTAAAGCAAATCTCATGAAATATCATACTTAAAGTTTTATTGGACTGCAATTCTAAAATTGCAGACCTATACATTTCCACTATCGTCTGTCTGTCCATACGTCCTTCCTTGACCTCGGAAACGGAGTTAAATTGATGAAAATCGAGATCGGATGGAGGAAGCTTAGGAGCCAGAGGCCAACTGATTACATTTATACGAACTTCCGGACTGGACGGAAGTTCGTATAAAGTTCGTTAAAATTAAAATATTAAAAATTGTAGCCCGGCATTGTGATATCACAATAATATACCTTTATAATATTATGAAAGTAAAGTAGAATTATTAATTACTGACGATTAGATAAATTAACTATAAACCTGTTGCAGGTTTTTTCATTAAAACACGAAAGAAATTCATTAGAAATTAATATATTTCCAACTTTTCCTGATAACGGAAACAAAAGAAGTGATAGGCGAAAATGTATTCAGTTATTTAACTGTAGGGTAAAATATCCAATAAAGATTACCTATACGAATCAATCCAAGACTATATTCCGTACAACAAAGATAATTTACTGTAGTTTTAATACAAAAAGCCAAATATATATATATTCATATCTATATCCATATATAATTATGTATATAGATTCCCTATACGAATCAATCCAAGACTATATTCCGTACAACAAAGATAATTTACTGTAGTTTTAATACAAAAAGTCAAATATATATATATTCATATCTATATCCATATATAATTATGTATATAGATTCGCGATAGGCCATCGCGCTAGCGCTATCTCTATCCAAACTGAATAAAGGAGCCGTCCGAATAATAATAATATGGAAGTGAAACATTTCTCATCAGTTCCGATATGAAACTCGAGAAAATAACTATATTTTTTTCACTGATGATCCTTTTCCGCAAGAAAAGGGGTCTTTTTTATAGCAAAAACATTAAGCTAATAAAATATGCCATAGCAACAAATTGTTGACTTGTGTTTAAAATTTAATGTACTAGAAATAAAATAAAATACGTTAAGAATGTTTATATTAATTGATTTCATAAAATAAAAATGTTAGTTGTCTATTGTTATATATATTTAATTTTATAATCTAAATCAATGATTCCCAAACTCTTTTAACCACCGCCCCATTGATTTCATAAACTTATACCTGAAGTCCCCGAACCAGTTTATCCTTGTGTGATAAAAGCTTGAAATATTTTTAGGTAAACTTTTCTATGAACCTCACACTTTGTGTCCTTACTTGTACAGTAGAACCTCCATTATCCGGACCTCCATTATACGGATTTTCGATTAACCGGATTGTTCAAAATAAACAAAAATTTTACGAATTTGCTGATTTGCACTTGGCGAATTACGACACTGTTTATGCACGTGATGGAATGCATAACTTTTTTTGTTTCA